CCACTCTTTCCATAGCCTTATCCACTTCCACTGGGAAGTGCCACCAAGGAATGGGTTACTTTGGAACTTGTCAGCCCTTCAAAGTGGACCAGACAAGAAGAAAAAAAAACATCTGCTATATCTTTTCTGACCTTATCTTTCCCTAGGCAGCATCTTCCCCCCTCCCCTAGAAGGCGTGGCAGCTCATCGCTTACGTGGCCTTTACCACTTCAGGTACAAGTATATAGGTAGATTTGCTAATGAGTTGCACAAAGATGGAGAAATACTGAATCACCCACCATGGAAGAATGGATCACGAAAATGCCAGAACTGGGAGAAATGGCACCACTGACCTATTTGGACACGGACACAGCAATAAGAACTTTTATAACAGTCTGGAAACTTTCTGGATGTTTTGATGGAAATGGGGAGGGGAAAAGTGAAATGATGAGTTCTGAAAAAGGACTGAATAACAGGCAGAAGGAATTTTGTAATATAGAAGAGGGTGGAAGTACAATTGCGTTTGCTGGAAGCACGATTGGAAGTTGCTTTACCTTTTCTGATTTTTGTTTCTTTAGTTATCTTCCTTTCCTTTTTAAATTTTTTTTGCTTGGCTTCTCAACTTTCTTTTTCGTGTGTGTGTGTGTGTGTGTTTGTGTGTGTGTATGTGTGTGTGTTTGTGTGTGTGTATGTGTGTGTGTGTTATGTATGTTCATACTTTATGCATCTTTGGAGTCAGTCTTTCCAACCTCCCCAATAATTGGCAATGTTTTTTTTTAAAAAAACCTTCTGAAATAAAAAGAAAGCAAGATGAAGATTTTCATGACGTTCAGTGGTTTATTGGAGGTTCCATCGCCACTCGCTCTCTTAAGGGTGAGACCGATGGATCACCAGGGAACTGGGCGACCCAACCAATCCAAAAAGGTCCCGTTGTCCTCTTCACAAAGCTTGGACAGCACAGCTATGATGCCTTGAGTGCTCTCTTCCACACTGATTTCCGGCTACCACAAAACAACAACAGCAACAACAAAAAAACAGATCTCACGAGGTTTAAAGAAACAGTCTTGCCCTCCCCTAAATAGATCAGCAGAATAAGTTCAACCCTAACAGAGATGGATTTGTATTAAACGGGCCAATATCATTTTGGCTTATAAAGGCATGTAAGGCCAGTCCCTTAGAAGGATGATAATGATGATGATGATGATCCAAAACAGCATGAAAATCCCTACATTTGGGTTAAATTAGGCTAATCACGCATGAATATTCCTTGCAAATGGACGTCGCGAATAAACAAAATTAGTCATAATATTTGCAAAGCGGAACTCTTATTAGAGGAGTCCTTGGTGCTTTCTGGGCTTGGTTGTTTTCTTGCAGACGTTTCATTACCCAAACTAGGTACCATCATCAGTGCTAGGGAAAATCATCCCTAGCACTGATGATGTTGCCTAGTTGGGTAATGAAACGTCTGCAAGAAAACAACTTAGAGCACCAAGGACCCCTCATTTCAACCCTGAGCTACAAACATTTGCCTTTATTGGTTTCCCATGTCAAAAAATACTTACAATTGGGTTGCGAGTAGTGCTAACTGAACCAGGATAGATGGCAACACTCATAATCCCATCGGCTGAATATTGAAGAGACTGGCACTTCGTGAGTATGTTTAGAGCAGCCTGCATGGATTAAAAAAAAAAGAAAGAACTATGATTGGAAAATGCATTGAAGAGAAAAAGGAAGAATATGGTGAAAATAAATAGCGTACAATAGGAGATTATTTGTGAAATGTGACGTGAGGGCCTGGAAAGCCAGATCAACAATGAACTAAAACATTCCTTGAGGACACAAAAGGGAAGAAATATCTATCTTCATTATTTTGCAATCTCATGCAAATGAAAATATGTATCAGGTTCTGTTTAATAACTGTTGTGGCTCGATGGCAGCTGATGGAGCTGGCAGCAGAGTTAGACAATAGTAAGGAGGTTGGGGAGGAACCTGGGCCGGGTCTGGAGGCTGAGGAAGACCCAGAAGAGGGCTCTGCATCAGAGGAAGAGATGGGGCCAGGGCAGGCTGCCAGTCAGCAGCTGCCTTCGGGTTCGGACAGCAGTGAGGCGGGGAGCTTATGGAACCGGTTCCCAGCCTGCGCATGCGCAGGACTACCAGAAGACCAGAACAATTGAGAAAGCAGGGTCGACTCAGGAGTAAGGCCACACCTCGGAGATGATTGGCCCCTCCCATAGGACATAAAAGGGCAGCAAACGGGATGTGAGCTTTTGCAGGAAGCAAATAGTTCATCTGCTCGCTTCAAGCTTTGAAAAGTCCTCTTTGACTCTGTGTCAAGTTTGGCTTTGCTCTGCGTCTGCCAATTAGTTCTCTGGCCGCATTCCAAGTGCAATAAGGTGGGTGCTTATAAACATTTCCCTGAAAAACTGTTTGTGAAGCCTGGCCGGCTGTGAATGAACGTAATTCACAGCTGTGGCAATAAAAGAGGTTTTGCCAGGGATTAAGATTGTGTTTTATGCTTTCTAAGGAAGCCTAGGTCAGAACAGGAACTTTATCTTTCAAAACAATTTCCCATTAAATAGTTACTTTCTGCAAATATGTAGTATTTGCACCACCCTAAGGTAACAATTCCCACTGTTGTTGTTGTTTTATTTCTGTCCCGATGATTTTTTTACATAATAAATGAAAATGGTAAGCATTTCAGTTGCAGAAAAATGTACAAAAACAACCTGTCCAACTCACCTTTTTCTTTTTTTGGGATCTCAGTCCTTACATGCGGGAGAAACCATTCTCAAAAATAAATGAAATCTCTTTTTCAAAGAACCTTCCCCTTCCACCCTTGAATTGGAACAAAATTGTTTTGAAAAATCACTCCAAAGGGCCAGGGAGCCCTTTCATAGAAGACTTCTCCATCAACATTTGGAAACCGCTTGTAGACCAGCAAAGATAGTAGCAAAGAAGCATCACTGCTGACCCAGAGCTGGTGCAGCAAATAGTGGCCATAAAAGTGTTTCCATCTCACGAAACATAACAATTCCTTTTTATTATTGTAACTTGCCTAACATAGCTCTACAGACAGTGAGGTGAGCGGTATATAAATTTAACAAATAAATCAAACAGTGTTGCGTCTCAGGACTTGATGAGAAATGTGGGATTAGGGACACACAAGCATGGACAATTGCCAATAATGGAAAATATTTGTAGCTCAGGACTGAAATGAGGGGTCCTTGATGCCCTCTGAGCTTGCTTGTTTTCTTGCCGACGTTTCATTACCCAACTACATAACATCATCAGTGCTAGTAAGGAGTGCTGTTTGCTGTCAGTTTATATTCTGGTGTCTCGTGTCTGTGTGGGTTGGGAGGGTCTTAGAGGCTTTTTGGTTGGGTTGTTTACTGCTGGCTCTTTGGCAGTTTCCTGATTGGGGTAGTGCTTACTCGATTGTTGGTCTGAAGTTGGCCTTGGAGTTAATCTATGCTGATCTGAGTGGTTACTGGTAGAGAAGTGCTTGGATCTTTCGTGCCCCGTTTGGGCTGGGTGATAGTCTCTTTTGTTGTTCATGTGTATATGTGTCTGTTGATGGCTGATTAGTCAGTGCAGGGCTTCTAGAAATTCCCTGGCATTTTTGGACTTGGCCTGGTCTAGGATTGTTGCATTTTCCCAATGGACAGTTGCATTCATGGTGGAAAAAGGAATTTCCATTGTCTGCAGGCAAGTCTACATAGAAAACTCATTAGGTACCTTACTGCAGCGGTATCCAATTATCTGACATTGGACCCAATAATCCATCAATTCAATTGAGCCCGTGCTGCTGGACATGTTAATAATAGCTGCTTTACTGCAACTCAGCCCTTGACATGGGCTTCTCTGGGCTGCCTTCTTCAGCAGGGGTAGGAAGGCCTGATAGAGAGAAGAAAAGAGAAAATGAGCCGCAGTTTGGCCGAGGAGAAGGAACCACACAATGACACGGGGAAGTCTTCTGTCTCCTTTGCAAAAAGGGACTTTCATTGAGTTATCCAGGAAATTGTTGGGTTCCAATGCTGCCTAAAAAGGAGCATCTACCTTTAATGTTTCAACCTGCTCCCAAACCGGCTTGCAATTTCTACTTCGTTGTTTTGACCACTACGGTATTACTTTGCTCCCTAGTTATACGAAATTCACCTGCTCAATCTTTTTTTTCTTGAATCAAAGCAGTCTTCCTTGCTTTAAAAGAAGTTTTGTTCGGAAACCAACCTGACTCATTTGTAATGGACCAATGGTATTGACAGAATAAACACTCATCATATCCTTGGCATTTTCTGTTTGCAGGTCAGTGAAAGTCCAAATGCCGGCATTGTTGTATAGGATGGTCAGACCACCTTCTCCAACACATTTCTGCACTTCTTTCTGAGCTGCTCGGATGCTTTCAAGGTTAGTAACATCTAAGGAAAAAAACAAGGTTATGGCAACATGAGCAACATGGAGTTTCAGAACTGCAAGAGAAGAGTTTCCTGAAACCACATATCGTTGTGTTTCTTCTGCAACTAAACATGTTCTGGAACAGCAGCATGAGAAGCTTCATCCCCAGCAGCTGAGGGCAGGGACAATACAAAAGCACATGACTAAAAGCAAGAACTCTTATGATCACACAATCTGATCTAGTCACTCTACTCTGAACTTACTCTCACCTAAGGCTAAACTCATTTTATCTATTTATCTAGCCTATTGCATAAACTCACAACTGACACTGTTTTTACAACATTCAAACCCCAACCCAGTGGTGGAATTCAAAAAGTTTTATCACCGGTTTGGGGGGAGCGTGGCTTGGTGGGCGCACTTTGCACACGTGTGCACACTTTGCATGCGTGCGCGTGCCAAACGCACTTTTTGTGCAGGCACAGAGGCATTCCAACTCACCTCCTGCAAAGCCTGCACTCTCCCAGTCGCTTCAGCAAGTGCCACGTAGCACTCTGCTGTCCCGCGCAAAGCAGCTGCGCTTCAAAAGCAGGAGGTAAAGGTGAGTATGGGAGCCCAGGCAAGCAGGTGGGCCCAACAGCAGAGCGGCGGAGAGAATCGGTTCCGTCTCCACTGCTCATCGCCGCTACCAACTCAGCAGAACAAGGCCAAACTGGTGGATTGCTACCACTACCCCAACCCAACAATTGAGTCAATTGCATAAAGATAGGTGGCTATAGAAACCAAATAAATAACTAAAACATAAAGGTCTTTCTGAGCTCTGTGAAAGAATATATACTTTGCCTGTTGAAATCATATAGAGCTGCCTATTAGAGCTGCAAAGAGATTCAGTTTATGGACTCTCAGAAAAGTTTGGAATCAGCTCTGGGAGTCAAAGTCCACATATCTTAAAGATGCTAATTTTGAAAAACATTGGTACCATGTTTCCCCCAAAATACAACCTACTCAGAATGTAAGCCCTAGCTTGATTTTTACACGTGCAACCAATATAAGCCCTACCCCCAAAATAAGCCCTAATTAAAATCCCGCCCACTGCAGGATAGATGGGTAAAAATTAAGCTAGAGTGGGGATTGTAGGGTGGAGCTGCCCTACTATTTATCTTTGGATAGTTGCAGCCAGGTGTTGCCCACCTCGGCCCATTTCTTCTGCAGGCTTTCCTGAAGGCCTCTCTAGCCAATAACAGAGCTCCGGATTGATCCGAAGCTCTGTTATTGTCTGCAGAGGCCTTCAGGAAAGCTTTGCTGGCCTTCCTGGCCAAAGGAGATCCTGAAGGCCTCTGACAGCAAAAAGGAGGCCGGGGGTGACACGTACAAATGAGGTGAGTCAGTGGATGACACCCCTGTTAGGGATAACATTGGTTACCTAACTTAGTTTGGGTAAAATAATATATATAAACTATGTTAGTGAGTTTAAGTGTACGTATCACTTTAAACTGTAAACCAAGTTTTTTGGGTGCGGTTGTAAAATCACCATAAGTGGGAGCAAGAGAGCTCACTGTTTGCCGGCTTTTACTGGATTGCTGACAATGATGGATTGATGGTGATAACTGCGTGTTTGCTGAGAGAAGAAAAGGGGTTTGATTTTTTCTTCATATCTCTGACTGCAAAAAGAGATATATCACTGGACTGATTGATTGTAAGTTTAATGAACTCTTTTTCAACACTGGACTTTGCAAACTGAATAACCCCCGGACTGACTGAACTTAGTGTATGACATATGGACCGTTTGACTATGCTATAACTCTTGCTGGAATAAAAACTATTTAACTTGCACAGTGTATCTGTCTTACTGAGTGTAAGCTACTACAACGTTTTTATCTCACATATCTGCCTGTCTGCTAGACTGCTGTTGCACGTTCTGCTAGGGTGTATATCCCTAACAACTTCCCCCCCCCAAAAAAAATAAGACCTAGTGCCTTTTTTGGTGGCAAAAAATATAAGACAGGGTCTTATTTTGTGGGAAACAGGGTATATACAGTATCCTTGCCTTTTCAAAGCACAGAGATGCAGATGGTACCTTATGTCAATCGCCCGTGGATGGAGCTTCATCTGACTACACCACTTTTGCAAGGGAGGAGTGAGAGAATTAGTCTATTTGTAACAATAACAACCATCTATTCCAATTCAAAGAAACCACAGTGAACCCAACTGCAAAGCAACCACAATTAACTTTATTCATGAATCATCTGATTGTATCAACAATATATCAAAAAACGTCATCCAAAAAGCCCAACAAAGAATGTTCTTTCTGTGCCAACTCAGAAAGCTCAAACTGCCCAAGGAGCTGCTGACCCAGTTCTACAGAGGAATCATTGAGTCTGTCATCTGGACCTCTATAACTGTCCGGTTTGGTTCTGCAACAGGACAGACACAGACTTCAGAGGATAATTAGGACTGCAGAAAAAACAATTACTACCCACCTGCCTTCAGTCGAGGACCTGTATACTGCATGAGTCAAAAAGAGGGCTGTGAAAATATCTACAGACCCCTCACATCCAGGATATAAACTGGTTCAACTCCTTCCCTCAAAACGACACTATAGAGAACTGCACACCAGAACAACTAGAGACAAGGACAGTTTTTTCCTGAATGCCATCACTCTGCTAAACAAATAATTCCCTCAACACTGTCCAACTATTTACAAAGTCTGCATATACTATAACTATTACTATTAATCCTCCCATCCTTCCTTTCACCCATCTCCTCCACCTTATGACTGTAACTTTGTCGCTTGTATCCATCAATTTTTATTGACTGTTTCCCAGTATGATTTGACTGCTTATTGCACCCTATGGCTATCATTAAGTGTTGTACCTGATGGTTGTGGACTCTTGATGAATGTATTTTTTCATTTATGTATACTGAGAGCATTTGCACCAAGACAAATTCCTTGTGTGTCCAATCACACTTGGCCAATAAAGAATTCTGTTCTGTTCTGTTCTATTCTATTCTATTCTATTCTATTCTATTCTATTCTATTCTATTCTATTCTATTCTTCTATTCTATTCTATTCTATTCTATTCTATTCTAGTCTAGTCTAGTCTAGTCTAGTCTAGTCTAGTCTAGTCTAGTCTAGTCTATATGTGTGATGAATTCAACATCAAAGCTGACAAGTCTTTCTTCAGATGGAACACTCTGGAACAACTAATACTTACCAAGATATCTAGTTATTCAAAATGTTCTCTGGAGAAAGCTGTTCTAACATGTGGAGGCATTTATGTTCAATTCTTTTCTCTCTGGGAAACTTATTCATGTGAACCCAATGTTACACTTTTGGTTAACTTCAAGAATAACTTTGGTTACTTTGGGCATTCCTGTAGTATCAAATTTGCTCCGTTTTCACAAGGCCCTTGAAACTTACCTAATTGCAACATCACCAGATTCGGATGTTTGCAAGCCAACTCTCTCAGCTCCTGGAGGAAAAAAAAAAGATCATAGTTTTTCTGTGAATTAAAACTCTCAGACAATGATGTGAGGACAATATCCAAAGGAAGAGCAAGCAGGAAAGGTCATTAGATCTTCATGGTCATCGAGCATGCCCCATCTCTGACTGAACAAAACAAAACTTAAGAAATCACACAAAGGCGTCATACAACCTGGGATGATACTCCATTCAACTTAACCCAACCATGTATTGTTCCCCCCAAAATTTTCCACACTCTACTGCTGATTTAAAGCTTTTTAAGTGGAAAACCTATATGTGTGGACAGTCTGCCCAGCAAGTGCCATGGCTGAAGACTAAGTGAGCTGATTAATGGAGGAAGGCATTTTGTTAATTTTCTGGGTTCAATAGAGGTGTAAATGGTGAATGGCTTAGCAACAAGTTCCCACCTCTTTGGATGCACTGAGCATGTCTGGAATTCTGGAGTCTTATCTTGTAGAATAGCTGCAAATGTTTATCTGGACAATTAGGGCCAAAATAGTCCATTAGTGGGAAGCAAATCAATCTACTCACATTTATTTTGTAGGAATATGGTGCATGAAGCAGAGAATTTATGGGGTGCTAGCAAGAATGGCTTGTGGAGATAAAAAAAACAATATAGAGAGGTGTCATGAATTTTGTTGATATGAATTTGATTTAATTATATCTTCTATTCACTGTTTCTCCTCTTGCACTATGCCTTAATTTATTACTTTTCCCTGCTTATTCTATTCCTCTGCATTGAATGGCATTGCTTTTTGGGGAAAACATCTCTTGGGTTGAATATAAGAAAAACAAAGTATACTATAGAGAAAAAAGGGGTGCTTTTTGTTGAATATAAGAAAAAAGAAAGCATGTAGTACTAAAGAGAAAAACATAAATATACAGTCAAAGAGAAGTTAATATATAGTAAATAAAGTCAATAGAATTTAAGCAAAAGGAAAAAAGAACTCTATACTATTTAAATAGAACAAATGCAATCTGCACGGTTTAGTTACACTGCTTGCTGCAAAGGGAAGAATAAAATTGTCATGCACTATTTGTGTATGTGGGTCAGAATATTCCTATAGGGCTCAAAACACAACTTTGACATTCAGCCTCAGTTCAACTTCTTAACTAATTACCACCTCATCCTCTGTTAACTGATTCTTACCTTGGTTTCTTCTCCCTCCAGGTCAAGGGTTGTAGCAAAGACCCACTTGGGTGGACATGGCAGCTCCAGAAACCTCTTCACCAGACCCAGACCGATCCCCCGGTCGGATCCAGTCACCAGGACACTGAAAACACAGAAATCCATGGATTTTGCCATCTCTTCAAGGACCTGTAGCTTCTGCTTCCAACTTGCTCAAATGTTTGTTTCAAATGCATCTTTTCACTATGGGAGATAACAATATAACGAATGGGTAACACCCATCTTTAGGCTTTCTGAGAAATTTTATTTCTTATTAAATCTGTTTGCTACCAACTCTCAGCAAATCTAGCTGGCTCCCACAACTAATTTAGTTATCATAGAAACCAGAAGGAAGATGCATCCATAGCTGTAATATATTTCATAGAACACAACTTAGAAATAGGGAGAAATTTCCTGACAGTGAGAACAATTAACCAGGCTGCCTTCAAAAGTTGTGGGTCCTCCAACACTGGAAGTTTTAAAGAAGAGGCTGGGCTGTCACTTGCCTGAGATTACATAAGTTTGTCTACAAAGAGCTTTTTGGAGAATATGGCACAATCTCCCTCTTCTTCTCCCTCTCTTTCTCTCTTCTTTTTTTGGTAAGATATTGTATGGAGGTACAAATAATTGTTTCTGCATGTATGTGTATTGAAAAAATACATTCTAAAAAACAGCGCTTCTGCCTTGAGAGATTGGGTTATCTTTATTTCACACATTGACATTGTGTATGTGATCCTAAATATCTTTTTGTAACACTTGTAAAGTCAGGCTTCCCAACCTCCCAACCCAAAATCGTTGTCATTGATCCTACATAATACCATTTGTTTTTCTTTTACAAAATGTGTTTAATAATGCATGCAAATGTTTGAGATCTTGTGAATCAAAGAAAACAACAAGACTAGGACTTTCCTGAGAGAAAGTAGCTTATTAAAGCACCATCATCTCTTAGTGCATTTTATGCCAATGACATCAGGGTAAGAGTGGTAGATCACCAGGGAATTCGATGACCCAGCCAATCCAGAAAGGTCCCGTTGTCCTCTGAAAGTATGGTTAGTACTGTCATGATGCCTTGTGTGCTGTCTTCCACGCTCAAAAACGGATATCATAAGGTTTAAAGAATCAGTCCTGCCCAGCCCAGATTCTTCACCTAAGCCAATCAGCCAAGCACAGTTGGACCTCTTGACTATAAATTGTCAACTCTAATAAAGATGTATTTGTGTTATACCAGCCGTTGCCATTTTAGCTTATAAAGTTATATGTCCGATACATCATGTACAGTTAGTCCTCAAATTACCAACTGTTCAAAGTTACAACGGCAATGAAAAAAACTAACTCAATCCTGACACCTGTGACCGTCGCTAAGATCCGCTTTGTTTAGCCATGTAAATTGTTCGAATTGTACAATTGAGGACTATCTGTAATGCCTATACTTGAACTAAATTTGAATAAATTAAGTGAACGATGGTTGAGCAGTCCTTGCAAAGGGGAGATACCGAGTCAATGAAGTTGCTTCTAACATTGTAAACAGGAATTCTTGTGATTTGTTTAATATGAGGGTCTTCCCCCACCTTCCTCGCTTATGGTTCAAAAGCCAATGGGCCAACCTCCCCTTGAGTCTTAAATATGAGAACGAAAAAGTCCTTCTAATTTCTGATATATGCACATGCTTTCCTACAGAAATTTCTTCCCCATGCAAATAGGAATCATCACCAATAGCTCAGACAGGAAGAGATTATAGAGGGGAATTGAGGCTAAGACACTGAACTTGTCAATCAGAAAGGTCGGCAGTTCAGCGGTTCGAATCCCCAGCGCTGAGTAACGGAGTGAGTTCCTGTTACTTGACTCAGCTTCGGCCAGCCTAGCAGTTCGAAGGCATGTAAAAATGCAAGTAGAAAAATAGGGACCCCTTTGGTAGGAAGGTAACAGCGTTCCGTGCGCCTCAAGCACTTAGTCATGCCGTCCGCATGACCACTGAGACATCTTCGGACAGCGCTGGCTCTTCGGCTTTGTAACGGAGATGAGCACTGCCCCCTAGAGCCAGAAATGACTAGCATGTATGTGCAAGGGGCACCTTTACCTTTAGATTTTCTTCTAAGAAGAAATTGAAATGAAGTTTTCTTGGGGTGCATTGTTCCGTTACATCCTGTTGCAATTTCCATTCTCTTTGCACCCAATCCTTTAATTCAATGTATGGCAATGATCCTCAGCTGCTATCCATGGTCTGCAGACTCCTGGGATGGGGGCGCACAATGTCATCGTAGGGAGTCCATGAAGACTTGTGGAAATGTTATGATTTAAATCTTAAGACTTGTGGGGGGGGTTGTGGTGACAAATGGTATTTAAAGAGGGTCCGTGCTGAAGAAAAGGTTAAGAACCACTGATCTATAGCATAACTTGATACTCATTGTTTCTGATACTCATTTCACTTCCCAAAACCAATTAATGATGAGTACTGAGGTACCACTTTATATGCAGATGTTTGAAATTTGTGAAAGAAAGAACAAGACCAGGACTTTAATGACAGAAAGCAGTTTATTGAAGGGCCCATCACCTCTCAGAGTATTATGAACCAATGACATAAGGGTGAGACTGATGGATCACCAAGGAACACAACGACCTAACCAATCCAGAAAGGCCCCATTATCCTTCTCGGAAAGCATGGATAGGACAGTCACGATGCCTTGTGTGCTCTCTTCCACAGTGATTTCCGGCTGCCACAAAGAAAGATCTCATAAGGTTTAAAGAACCCAGAATTCTCACTTAAGCAGATCAGCAGAATCTAATTGGACTTCTTGATCATAAATATTCAACTCTAGTATAGAGAATGATTTGTATTAAACTGGTCAATCAAATGTTGATTGATTACCTTTACAAAGGTATATCAATGCAGCCTCTGTGATCAAGTGATGATTTAATGTATTCCATAAATCCCTAAATTTGAGTTAATAGAATAAATTAAATGAAACCAGTACAAGCATACTTTGCAAGCCAAAGGATTTGTTTCTAATAATTTAAAGCAGAACACACATGACTTGTGTTACCACATGAATGTTCAGCATACTGCATGCCAAGATGTTTTCCAGAACAGATTTTTTTCAAGCTAGCAAATTATCTTTTCCCAATTTTCAATAAACCATCTCTTAGAAATCTGTCACAGAACCTGCGAAACCTGCCTTAGATCTTAAGCAGAAACAGAACTGGTTTTTTTTTCCTTTAATATATTTTTGTCCTTCTTCCTTTTTCTCTTTTCTTTTTCGCATCTATTTTTCTTTTTTTTAGGCTGTGATTTATTTATTTTTTGCATATGTAATATTTCATAAAAACATACTGTAGGGCATATAATTTAAAATATTCATCCGGAGTATAAGCACATACACCAGGGTCCATGGATAAATGCATTATTTCTTTTCATCGTTTAAAAGACTTACGTAGGGGTTGCGAGTTGTATTTACCAAGCCAGGATGGATGGCTACTGTCAGAATCCCACTCTTTGAATACTCAAGTGACTGGCACTTGGTGAGCATGTTTAAAGCAGCCTGCATAAGCAAAAAGAAAAAACTATAAGGAAAGAAGTTCCTTGGATGAGAAGCCCAACGTATTCAAAGAAAAACCAGAAAGTGCAGTTGACTCTTGAAAAAAAGCACCTTTGACCAGGATGACTGAGACCAGGATAAAGAAAATGCATGCTTTGGAGTAGGAAATGGAGATGAAAACGAAGACAAATCCCTTGGCTATACTTAGCTACACGGTTAGCCTCATCCAGGGCTGGAAAGGAGGAGGCAACACACCACAACTGGACTACTAAACAATTCTGTTATCACACAAAGGAGGAGAGGGGAGAAGGAAGCCCACCATATGGATAGTTCTGGTAGCAAAGAAATAAGTATCTCGTTGATTATATTGCATTGAGCGGCATGATGGCCAAGTGGAGAAAATGTTTGCCTCCCACTTGGAAGGTTGAGAGTTCAATCCCAGGTAGTGGGAGATATTTCTCTCCCAGACCGCAAAAAAATAATAATAATAATTGCTGTGAACTTCACATGGTGTCAGAAAGGGCATCTGGCCAGTAAACACTCAGCTTCATTCAATCACTATTCAATCACCCCAATCCCAAATTAAGGGAATACAAGGTCATAAAAGGAGAATTTGTTGATTATATTATATTATATTGTCTGAGACAGGCACCTAGCTGTTCATGGGCATCACTACAGGTTGAATGTTGAGGACTAGAAGGCTGGTTCCTGCACCTTCAATCCCAGCTAAGTTCATCCAGTTCCCCCATATTGGTTTTTCTGGACTGCTGATTGTATCTGCATGTGGGATCATTGTGTGTGTGTGTTTGTGTGTGTGTGTGTGTGTGTGTGTGTGTGTTTTGCAAACCATCTCAACAGCAAAAATCAGGAGTTTCATCAAAGCCTGTTGAGCTATTTATCTGGCTTTTTAAAACAAAGCCCTCTAAATGACTAATGTTTGAACAAAGGGTTTTCTCAGCTTAGCATACTTTATATCCCAGACATTCCCACTTTTTAATCTGATTTTTGTTTTTACAATGAATGAAAACAGTAATCGTTTCTGAAAAACAAGCGGATCTAGGCAATTCCATCTTTTCTTAATTTCAGTCCTGACAGTAGACATGAAGCTGTTTCTTCTGTAAATGAAATCATTTTGAAATGAAGCCCATTTAAATTTGGTTATAGGTTGTGTGTGTGTGTGTGTGTGTGTGTGTGTGCAAGACTGCAAGAGAGCACTTGCACTCTGCACTAGCTGAAAAACCTATGCCACGTGGTTTACAGAAGAACAAAATTGAGCTGTATGAACATGTCCCTATTTTTTTGTCTTTCCAAACCATTCCAAATCTCAACAGTAGACAATAAATTACTCTTTAAGGGACAAGCATGTAGCAATAGCAATAGCATTTAGACTTATTTACCACTTCACAGGGCTTTACAGCCCTCTCTAAGCGGTTTACAGAGTCAGCCTCTTGCCCCCAACAATCTGGGTCCTCATTTTACCCACCTCGGAAGGATGGAAGGCTGAGTCAACCTTGAGCCTGGTGAGATTTGAACTGCCAAATTGCAGGCGGCCTGCAGTACTGCAGTCTAACCACTGTGCCACCGCGGCTCATGTAGGGACAAACCCAGCAATGACTGAAGAAGGAAGT